TCAAGTATATATATGTATATATGTATGTAAGTATATATAACCGACTCTTCTCTTGAAAGTTTCCAAGTCTCTAGGTGTCAAGGTGTCGGCCTTGGCGATAACTGGAATTAGATTAACACGAGAACCCAAACGCTTCATGATCTCAATGTCCAATGGCTTCAACCTATTTGAATGATGAAGGCAGACGTTAATGGAAAAGATCCGTGGGAACACCGTGTTCCTATATATTATAAAACCTACGTGTGGCCGGTTGGGCGAATGAAATAAAGGCAGGAGTGAACGCGCATGTCCAACTTTTCTTTACGATGTGGCTGTTGCTCTTGGCGCATATACGATTCGTGTTGGTCGTCAATAAATTCGACAATGGGTAACCAACTATCACGATTGTTTACATAGTCCCCAAATCCGGGCGTGTCAATGACCGTGAGCTTTACGTTAAACATTTTCTCTTCGAGTTCTATAGGAATGTTGTGAAAAGATTGTGAAAATGACTTCCATAATTTGAAATAGCGCACCAATTTTCAAGGTGAATTCACATACCGGCCTTTGTTATCTCAATCTCGACGGTTTTCTCCGTCTGTTTAGCGTGCCGTTTTGCTTGGTTTTTCTTTTCCTTGATGGTGGTGGTGAAAAGAGTATTGATAAAAGTTGTCTTCCCAAGGCCGGACTCACCTAATAGACAACGAAATCAATAAGCTATAAATCTTGCATCAAGTCCATAGATGGAGACCACCTCAAACCCTCATCTCTTTCCCCGAGGGAGCGCAGCTGACGACTCTTGGACATGCAATCACCGCAGGCCAATTGAAAGACTAAGATACTCACCAACAACCATCAAAGTGAAGTTGGTACCGCGCTTGGCCACAATCTTGTGACGCTGGTTCGGTAAGTTGGCGATGCCTATGCCATTTGTTGTAACTGCACCTGGAGACATTATGAAGCTGTTCGCTTATCAAAAGAGAGGATAATGGGTTGGTCAAGAAGATGACTGCTCACTATAACAAAGATACTTTATATCAAACGTATTAGTGTGTTTGGAGGAAGTTGTGTGCGGATGGAGTAAGTGCTTTTACTACTTTACTTTTTCGGAGGACATGTTGAACAAATTTTTCGCAACATGCATTCAAGTTGACCAATTAGTTGAGGAGACGGACAAACCAATAAAATGTTTATTTGTAAACCGCGATCGACATCAGTGTGATCTTCTAATAATAATGAGTTGTACGACCATTTTGTACACAATTTGGATGCTAATTTGTTTTTTTGCGTGTTTAAAACCTGCATGGAATTGCATATGATTATAATGATTGTAATAATAAGTAAAAAATCAAGGCCCAGGTGTATGTCCTGTAGTGTATGATTGATGAATCTTCTCTGTATGCTAATTCTCCATGATTTCCTTAGATTTGACTTTTAATATTTCATCAACGTCCTTAACCGACTTGTCAATTAGAAGTTGAAGCTGGGAGATAAATATACGCGTTCAGCTCAATTTAAAAAAGGAAATGTACTCGGTCGATCAGAGGAGGAATTGATGTGATACCTTCTTTTCCGACGCTCTTAATTCATCACTCGATAATCCAATTTTGCTGTCTTTTCTTAAATCCTTTAATCCATCCTGCCTGACCAGACGAATCTTGATCTTTGTTTTCTCCGAGATTTCAGACGCCGTTTTCGCCAATTTCTCGCGATATTCGGTGGTGACTCTTAATGACAAAGGATTTGATTACTAAATGACGCAGGGATTGCACAATCAAAGGTGTTAGATGTCACGCATTACTTTGGAATTGGCACGCTGAGACCTTTCTCGTGGATCATGGGATTCAAATTAAGATTTGCGGTCCTGATCGCCTTGTCCACCGCTTTTAACATCTAATAAAATGAATAAAGGCAAGGCAAAATGTCGATATTTTATGATTCATATTACTATCAATTATTACTCTTTCAACCCCGCATTATCAGTTGCATGGCTTAGTAGCTCTTCTCATGTTGTCCATACTTCTTCGTCATGCACGTGCACTAACAACGTTTGTGGATCTTTGATGACGACTTGGGCAAGATCCCTCAGAGGTGTGTTTCCTTCTTTACAGGGAACAGTCACCAAGTCGAGAATGGCTGGAGGAAAGCGAAGAGCATTTTAATGAACTGAATTTGAAAATATACATAATGATAGATATGCTGTTGCTGATTCTCCATTTAACCTGGATTCGCCCGACCAATCCTCATCGTGCCATACTTCTTTTTCAATCCTTCAATCGCACCATTCACTTTAGATTCGATAGTCGTCAAGTCAAAAGATCGAACATTTTCATCGATCGCATCTTGCTCTTCCTCTCCCTCCCCTTCCTCCTCCTCGTCTTTCTTAACACTCCTCCCCCTTTTCGCATCTTTCTTGCCCGTTTTCTTCTTAGAAGCTAACGTTCTTTGTTGACTCGCATACAATGTATCGGGAGTGAGAAAGGGCAGAACGCGATTCAAGGGAACCACAGAAAGACGGGAAAACTTGGATAAACGGACATGCCCATTTAGGATAATCGATGGTCCATGGGTGGAGTAGACGCGACCTATACTCATAATGTTATTTATACGCCTTCCAAGGATCATTTTAACTTTATCTAGTTCCACATGGGTTTTACAGGAAAAAAAGAAGAAAAAGATAAAGTTGATGTGGATTTTATGCTCTACTTACAGTATCTAGCAATTTCAATTGGCTGTCATTGAAATGATTTACTGGCTCATCATACAACTCACAAATTTTCAAATTCAGACTTAACATGGGTGGTGGCAACGATTCACCGCAAGGAAACCAGACTGCTGAAACGCTATCAGCCTCACAGACAGCATCAAGTCCTTCCACGGACGAGGCACATGATAAGACTCTGGTTTCCGAGGCTGGACAAGACATTCAATCGGGTGGTGAGTCTGCTGGGTCCGTTGACTCGCAAAAAACACTTGAAGGCACGGAAACCCAGTTACCCGAAGCGTCAGGCAGCATTGGACCACAAGCGTTACCAAAGGAGTACGAGGTTACTTTCGAAAAGAATGCAGAATTTATGGAAAATATCAGGAATGAGACGGCTAAAAAATCACCGCTTGTATGTTGTTCCGAGAGTATCGATAGGTTATACGAAGAGTACCAGAACGGTAGCGAGGTGTATCAACAAAAGATCATGGTTTGTTGCATTCTTTTACAAGTGTCAAGCAAGCTAGCTATCAGTAGAGGATGGCATGCGTTTTAAATTTTTTTTTTTTTTTTATTCGTCACCTGATATCACGTTAGAAACTAAAAGAAAGACATGGAAAAATAAGACGTTGTCGGGGCGATGGGAATTGCTTCTATCGAGGTAATATGGTGTCGCCAATAAGAGTACCCGAATTTTTCAATCAATCATTCTTAATTGGAAAATCAATCTTGAATTTTGGTGTAGCATTCGGATTCGCGTGGTTCGAGAAACTCATGAATTCCAAGGATCGCACTCTTGGGCAGGAAGCACTCACCGTTCTGGCCTCCACAAAACCACTTCTCGAATCGACTGGATATCAATCACTCGTGTACGAAGATTTCTATGATGTCTTCGAGGAACAATTGAAGGCGATCGTGGAAGGAGGACGAGATGAGGACACTTTGCTGTCTGTCTTTCAGACAGATGAAATTTCCAATCAACTCGTCTTGTATCTTCGATTTGTCACCGCCGGCTACCTGAAGAAACATCGAGAAGATTACGAGCCGTTCTTAGAATTCGATTACGGAATGACGCAGTTTTGTAACAAATACGTGGAAGCCATGGACCAAGAAGCCGATCACGTTCATGTGATCGCATTAACAAAAGCTCTCAAGGTACCAGTAGAGATTGCTTACATGAGTGGTTCTAGTGCGATGGAACAGGTGAATTTTCACGAATTTTATCCCGAAGAGGAATCAACCAAAGAACATCCTTTACTAGAACCGTTGGTGTTATTGTACAGACCTGGACATTATGATATTCTGTATCGCGACGAATAGAGTTGTATCTTTTGATATCTGACAGTCGTTTGGAGTATCATGAAAAGATGTATCGATTTATTTATTTATCTCTCGTATCAATCATGTGCTCTTTATGTTTATTTATGAACAAAATTGTAATCTTTGTATAACACAGTGGTAGTGTACGATATCCCCCTTTTTATTTAACTTTCTCGGACTCTTGCATGTTTCATGTTGATCGTAAATTAATGATGATTGTTGACGAGATTTATCGTCAATGGATATCACGTGATGTGTGAACTCGTCAGGCAATTGTGAAAATTGTCGACACCATTCTGCACCCAAGAAAGGATCGGTTTTACATACATTTTTACGTCGTTTTTGCAGTAATTTGACATGTGTTAAGGTAGGTGACAAGATCCGAATGATTCTTCCTCCAAAAATAATCTTACACCTGATATGCAAAAATTCGACGAAAAAGGGTATAAGAGAAATTTACACATAAGAAGTGGAAAAGAATTCCAAATGCGGCTAGAAATCGTGGCTACGTTTCATTTTCGTGAAGGTGGTTTTGTTGTTTTGAGGAGATTGATGAGTCAGAAAGGATTAAAATTTAAAAAAAAAAAAAAAAGTCGTGGTAAATAAATTATGACTGACGTACGCATGAAATGCGCGCCTGAGTTCAATATTTTAAAAAAAATAAAAAAAAAATGTCCTTGTAAAATAAATACAATGAATAGAATTCTCTATTTGAATTCTGACGAAATCTAAAATTTCATTAAATTCCCACTGTTGTCAAATGTCAGTGTAGACTGGTCGTAAACGCGAAATCAATGTTCGGAAGAAAAAAAAAAAAAAAATGAGAAAAATGATTTTTTGGCAGCTGATCTGTGCTTAATCGACGTCGCATGCATCCGGAAGAGGCGGTAAACCCTTCTCGGCGACACATGTTTCACGAATGGTCGTGTTGGATCGAGATTGAAAGTTGGGCGTAGAAATGTTGCGACGGAGCTTTTGCCACATAGCTGCGTTGTCAGGTGATCCCTCGCATTCACCACAATCTTCTTGATCTTCGAGAGGATAGGAACCTGGCATCACCATTGCTTTGTCACTATTTGAATTGTGTAAATTAAGTGTGACAAGAGAAAATTGTCCTAATATTAAACTGATAGAATTGCGACGACGCGAAAGTACGCGACGCGTGATGCCTGAGAAGGATAACCGTCGGCCTTGATCTGAGGTCGGCGTTGGTAAGGTAGAACTCGTGGAACTGGTAGAAATGGTGGAATTGGTGGTGTTGGTGGAACCCGTAGATGCCATGGATGATCGGTTTCCTTCGGAATTTTCTGAGGTAATGATTGTGGAGGTGACGGAGTGTGCGGGTGATTTAGGAGAACGTGGAGGCGGAGTTGATGGTATGGTTTGGTTAACGGAAGTGAGGTCATTAGTGGTCGTTTTCAGTGAGGCCAACGTTGACACCAGTTTCGATCGCAGGGAACCAGATGAAAGAGATTTTCGCGGTCCCGAGGTTACTTTTCCAACGAGAGAAAGAGGCTTGAGGTGATTGGAATCGGTTGGATGGTTCAAATTCAAACTCAGATTAATCGTAGAATAGGATTCTGGGATCATGGAATTGCGCGTGAACTTTGGAAGAGAATCTTGAGCCATGAGGTCGAAACAATGTTGCTGGAGTTTGTCGAATATATCAATGGTGTATTGTCGTGAATGGATTTTTTGCTGACAATTGTTTGCAAGGTCTTGAGGAACATTTAAAGGCTTTGAAGAGGTGTCGGAGTCCAAGTAAAAATTCCATATATATTTTGCGTGTGAGCTTATTTCTCGAATATCGTCGTTGGCATGAATTCTCGTTGAGCAAAAGAATTCACGGTATTGGCAAACGTCCATGTAAAAATCCAAATTCTCCTCGCAATATTGCGACACCAGATAATCCCGGAACCTAGTTCTTGAATTTTCGTCTTCTATTATTTGCATTAAACGTAATCTTCTAGACTCTGTATTACATGACAGCCGTCCTCTGCACGTATCGCTTCTCTTGGGCAAAGGTTTACGTCGTCCATCGGTGGTTCCAAGTATAGCGTCATCGGGTGGAGTTAGGGTTGCCGTTGCTTTGGTTATACAATCCGCTAGCTCAGTTTCGCCAGTGACCTGCCATTCGAAAGCCGGTAGCTCGGGTTTAACTTCAGGTTGAGAGCTCTTGCCCTGCATCGAGAAACCTGTTAGAAACTGGAGAAAGAATTTTAATGATTCTTCATCGAAGCCATCACTGCCTACCTCCTTCTTTCTGTCATACAGAAATCTTATCCCAAACTTGAGCATCGATCGGTTTGAAGACGGAGAAACGAAATGTAATAGATGAGAAAAGAAAGAAGCGTAAAAAAGAAAAAGGAGTGAATGAGACTTTTTATCATAAGACAATAAAAATGACTCGACTAGCGAGAGTGTGCTTTGCAAATATGCAAGATATGCAAGATTCTCGAGGTTATATTTGAATTTATGTTGGTGCAACATCAAAAGCTTTTTTTAATACGTGAATGCGTGATGGAGCCCTGCAAAAGAATGTCCTATCAAGATTAGAGCACAAAGTAAAAATAGCCATTTTCGGATGTCCAATATATTATGAGGTAAATAAAAAATTGAACTGAGGAAACACTGGAAAGATGAATTTAAAGTATACGAAAATAACGTTTATTAGTGGTGTTTTTATGAACGTTGCAAAAATAAATAATGGCGGGAAATTTATTATTTTTTTCTTGTAATAGCATTAACGCAAACGGTAAATACACGGCCGATCGAAAGAGGATAATATTAAATTACAATGCGAAATTGCGTAAACCACAATTTAAACTTTATTGTGCGGTGGTGACACGGAGACCATTTTGAGGTTATAATATTTGAATGTTTGAGTGGTATGCATACGTCACGGAAAGGACGTGCGAATCAAGAACGTCTTTCATCGGACACAAATACATTACATTTAACCAATAGATTAGGTAACCCCTAACGCTATTCCGAATGTTTTATCTTCGGTCTTGCTATTAATAATAAAATAAAATAAAATTATTAATAAAAACTATTAATTTTAAATTATTAAAAAGTAATGAACTTTCGTAACCTTCAGCCGTCGAGACGGAAATGGTATCATCACATAGAAAACCAAAAGAGTAAAGAAGAACCCTTATGCTGCCTGTTTATCAAGTAATTCAGCCCGCTGGTCCTACCGCAATATTATTAGAAAATCCTATACATTTCATGGTTTAGCGATAATAGAAAAAGATCATCTACTGTATTTTATCTTCGGACACTACTGAATACAGTTTTCTATTTTACGTACTCTGTGCGTGTAATCGTGTAGTTACATGGATAATCTTCTAAACCATGTACCTACACCTCGTATGATTGATGTGCAATGCGCATAACATAAATTCTTCTGTAAACAATTTGTTTTCTGAAAAAACGCAAAGCTCGTTGAATTCCAAGAATTCTTGGATTCACAGGCCGAATTCAAAGATAAGTCGTTAATCCATTTCACCCGGAACCTATTGAAACAATCAATTTCCTCTGGTCGCTTTTAAACACCTGTCAGAGTGTAATCAATCAACTGCAATAGGATTTAATAAATCCGATTCAATATTTTCATTTAATACTTCGTTTATTCCTTTCCCTTTTCAGATTGTTAACGTGCCGAATTTTATTTTTAAAAAAACTATTATTATTATTATTATTATTATTATTATTATTATTATTTGACGATTAATGCATTGATATTGTTAACGGCAAATTGAATAATAACTCCAGTGTAATGCATATTTAAATTCGTTTTTTCCCATACAAATACTGCGCGCTAGGTTCGGGACTTCTGATCTAATATTGAGTGTAACCATTATTATTTTTTTTGTTGTTGTTGTTGATGTTGTTTCTTCTTGATAATACGAATGAAACCGTTCCAACCGAATTTTGTATTGTTTCTCTCATTAATCAATTTGTCTTCGAATCGCGTAAAATTGTCCTCTGTACAAGTATGGTTTAGTTCGACAAGTAATACAACTTTTTAAAACATGATCTCCTGCCCCTTAATGGTTTGCATCAAAGAAACTTAACTTCATGCAGCACATGCTCCGAACCAACAAAACCGAACCTTCGGGGCCTGTTTCCGGCCAATAAAATGCTTGTGGTTTGCATAATTAGTATTTCATTTAGATAAAAAGTTGCTTTCCTTTTAAATACAGCATAATTATAAAGAACTTAATAAATTATAAGTGAAAAAATACTATAGATTATTTAAACGGTTGAATAAATGTTCTTTGATAAAACGAAGTTTAAAAATGTTTAATACTAAATTACATAAAATTCAAATAAAGCAACATATATTGTATATACTGTATATACAGTATATTGTATATCAAAAAATAAAATATAAAAAATTATTTTTAAATTGATTTATTGTTCTTTTTAAATAAAATAAAATTAATAAATTTAGTAAAATTAAATAGTTTAAACTATACGTGCAATAGAAATTTGTAGATTTGTGATATAATTTTTTTTTTTGCAATATCCATAATCAGGTTAAACTATAGTTTATTAATCAATTGAATATATAGATACAATTTATATAAATAGTATGATACAATATATAGTTTAAAATAAAACTTATTATTATTGCTTATAATTTTATAACTATTTAATAAAATTTAATAAATAAATATATATATATAATCACTTTTGACCTACAGGTCTATAGTGCAGTGGTTAGCATTCCGTAGATCAGATCACAAGATATAGATTCAAATCCTTCAGGGGGTTAATGTGATTTCCCTGATTATAAAAAAGTAGGTAGAATCTGGCAAATCATCCATTGGCCTAACTGTATATAACCGATATTTCTGAGTATAGCTGGTACAGATCAAGAGAATTGGTAGTTTTCATTGATTCTCGTCAAAAATCAAGATTTCCGTAACACAGGACGGTCTATACAAAGATTGTAATCAGGTTATTATTCAAAATCAAGTAGGATTATCCCTGATAGGATCCCATTACCACCTGTTGATAACAAGAAGAGTAAATCCCTAAACCGATTGCATGTCGCTGAGAAAGGTCTGACTGAAGATCTTACCGATTTCAAGACTTAAAGCATGTGTCTATGTCTTAATCCATAAACTTAACAATCGGGAGGCCTTGGTGGGAAGAAAAATTCTCAAACCACTCCGAAGGATCAAAATCTGAATTCAAGATAAAGAAAATTCAACAGCCTGATAATTAAACTATTCTTAAATAAAAATGGTCTGGAAAAAATTAAAAAGGAATCGCATAGTCTTCTAATGAGATAGTGCTTATACATAGTTAGTAAATATATAAAAGCTACTCATGTATATAGATTACTAATATAAGCAGATGTATGAGTACTTGTTAGTATATACATTGTCTATCTATATACAAAGAGTAATATAAGTAGCTGAGCCAAGGCAGTTGCCTTATATGAATGTACAGATATATTACTAATAAAGATTGTGACAATGATTTTATGAATCAATGGCTCATGAACATTATAGACAACTCCATTATTTTTGAAATTTATTTTAGCATTAGCCCAGCCTTAACAGGTTAGCCCCCATACTAGGGGTGGCAACAAGCTGCAAGGTAAGTATCCTAGGAAAGAGAAACCTCTATTGAGTTTTGTTTAATAAAAAACAGGTAGTATATTTTAAGGTAGCTTCTCTATGTAATATTACTGCAAATATACAAATAAAACAAGGCTGAACTAGTGTTTAAAATATATATATATATATAATTACTTTTAAAAATTTGAGTTTATTTATTATATTTTTATTATAAATTTTAATTTTATCAATTTTAAATCCTTAATTTTTTTTTTTTTTTAAAATCCTCTGTCAGGCTAGTTATGTGTGCTTTATTAAACAATTGTAAGCTGTACATATAGTATGAATCGCTAAAGCTAAAACTTTAACTAGCTCACTTGTCTCAGTAATTACTCTAAGTGCAACTTTGGAAGTGATTTTTCGCTTCATTAAAAGTTCAGGTGAAAACCTTTCAACTTTTAATATCATTGCCTACAGGTCACTGCTACAGATCACTCTTTACAGTTTTGACAGAACTCAAAATCTAACCATTTTTTTCTGAATTTAACCCCTTTTGATAAGATATCTGTGAGACCTTGATCTTCTAATCTTCCTTCTTCTATTAATGGAACACCTCTTCTTTCTAGTGATGCAGTTTTAGGTTTTGGATCAGGAAGGCTTGAAGGTCTTTTCATCTTATCATTTCTTTGGATCCCCTGTATTCTTTCCTATTCAATAATTTTTTCGCATCTTATGTTCCAAACCTTCTTATAGAATTGGTTGCATACTGTACTCTGTATCTTCTTTATCCATTTTCTTGCTTCTTTTCCAATTCTTTTGCCATGGCATTTAAGATTTGTTATCTCGAGAACAAGGTTGCTTTTTATCAATCCTGCAAAAAAGCTCAACATATCTTGATTAGTTGTTGAAGCTTGTTCCACCAGTCTAGATATCCACTTATCTATTTCTTCCAATTCTTTCCTATCCTCTATTATTATCTCATATTCTTCTCAGCCACTTCCCTTTTTCTTTCTTGTAGAAGTTCTCTAAAGTTCTTCAGAACCCCTTTGAGACCTTTGTTCCATACTTCTTGCATCTGTTCCTTGTAAGTTGGACATTCTAGCAGGTAATCGATTGTTTCTTCTTTATGGGGGCCACATACAATATATTTTACTTACTTATACAAATCCAGCCTTCTTATTGTCAACTTATTCAGAGTTGATAGCTCATCACTTGTTAATTTAATGAGGAAGCTCTTTCTCTATAAGTCTTTGAAAGATGTGTTCCATGTATGCCTATTCATTCTTTTCCATGCTAGATTCCAAGTGTATTCTTGTTGTTTTTTGATCTGATGACTCCATTTCTTTTTAGTTCTATTCTGTGCTGTCCATTGATATACCGTGGTCTTATTATTTATCTTTTTGATAAATTGTCTTATGGGATCATCTAGTGTTTTGTCTTTCTACTTGATTTCTGTAGGGATTTTGTAGGAAGTGAGATCCTTCCATTCTATTGTGAGCAAGTTGAGGGCTCTTTTGGCTAAAGTATCTGCTTCATCATTATAGGGATCATTGGAATGTGCCTTGACCTTAGTAAGCTTTAGATCTAGGTTTTTTTTTTTGACCAGCTCTA